CCCATTCTCCATCTCGTATTAGTCATTTCCTCATTACAGGCAGGCATTAGGTAACTAGCCGCTGAGAATAAATCCAATGAGTCCTGTGTCCTTCCTGTTTTTACAACGCCTCCAGCTAGACCTCCCACCCATGTCGGTGTTAGGGAAATCCAGCTGAGTTTAAAGATACTAAAGGTAATCTGATAACCTGGAGGCAATGAGCTGATTCCACTAAACAACAGCAACTTGTCCCAGGGTGCAAGCCTGTTGTTAATTTTATTGTCAGTGAATGTTAAGTGGTGGTGAGTATTCTTTAATTGTTGCTATAAATCAGTAAGGCAGGCACAAAAATGGTTATAGGAGAGAGAATGAGAGAGCGAGAGGAACTGCCTGTACTAAACACAGAGTTCACCTGAGGCTTGCAGCCCCACTAGACATTCATTGGCCATGCGTAAGATAGCAGACATCTAAATCTGACGCTTCTCTTTTCATAATAATGTGCGGATGGCTTCCTCCGTGAGCCCATCACCACATCCTGCATCTTTGTCCCTGAATCTGACAAAAATGAAGGTCTATGTCTCCCCACAAGTAGGTGTCACCATGGAAACAACTGTTATTCAGTGCTCTCAACAATAGCCACTAAATGAAAGGAGCTGTCTGGTGGAATTAAAGAGTAGGCTCAGACCCTCTTTCTATGCAATAAGTACTCACAGCATTAGCAGCCAAACCACAAAGGGCAATTCTGTACATGATAGCATAAGTTACATTTCATCAAGCACATCAGTTACTTCATATATATTAGTCTGTCTTGTCCAGCGGTGTGCAGTGAGAAAATTGGTCTGGAAGTAACTAGTGTAGATGACAAAAAATGGATGATGCATTTTTTGGGAAAATAATTTCAAAACTTACTTCAATATGATAACAAATTACAGAGCCAGTTTCAGTTAAATGATAAGATTTATTCACCTAACTGCAAGACAGAGAGCATCAACTACAAGAACAAAGGTTTGTGCAAATGCAGGCTTGCATATTAGCATATCATATAATCCAAAGGAATGACTGCACAGCATAGCTTAACAATAAATGTAAGCATGCAATAAATCCCCTTCTTCTTTTTGAAGAAATCAAACTAATCAGTGATGCATGGGTTGCTTCTCACCCACATGATCTGCAGTTATACCAGTTGCATATTAGGGTTATGGGCTGTAAACCTTGCCTTGATTAAAAGTGGACAGATGAAAAAGAGAACACGAGTGCAGGTTGGAAATTTCAAATATGTCAGTGTAGTTTAAAACCTGTGACTTGTTAATTTTGTCTGACAATGGTGCATGTCTAGATAAGGGGATATCAGCGGCTCACTGGATCCTTCCCAGCATTTTTTAATCCAAAGTGCAAGATGGCCACATAGTCTTCAGTGTTTCATTGTATTGTTGTTTGCACCACTGTGGCACAAATGATGGGTTACTGTTAAGACAAAAACATAGTATTTAAAATGACACCACATGGCTGCGCACTTGGATTCAGCTAATCTAGCTCTGACACACATACACACGATATTCTTGGAATATTTTAGTTTTTCATACGCAACTGAAAAAGTTCATTATTAAAAAATAATTTTCAAAAAGGTCTGAAGAGGAATTTGTTTGGAACAAATCTTGTGAGGAATAGCCACTGGAAAACACCTATGCATCACTGTTTAACATGTATTACCATAAGACATCTAATACATTTTGTAATTCAGGTAACCCCCGAAAAGCATGAAACATTGCATGGCTCACTGTATTGGTGTTTAAACTGAAAAAAAAACCATTTATTCTGTATGACTTATTTGATAATAAAACCAATTTAAAAATGTACATGTTTTGAGGTCAGTCATCTATCAATTGTAAAATCACATCTCAGAAAACATGCTAAGAGTACTGTGGAATGAACCATTTGAGCTGGTGCAGCTCATAACCTGAGGCAACGTAGCAATAAGGTGATACAGGTAACAGGGGACAAAGGGCAAATTGCCATATAAGGCACAAATCACACTGAAGCGCCAATCTCGGTTAGGTATGTGTGTTAGTTTGCCCTCAGAGGACAGAAAAATTAATTAACATCTATAGTCCCTGCCTTGTTTAGTCAGAATAAGTAGGTTTATGAGAAAGCAACAAACTGCTTTCATACATACAAGCTTTCAAAACTTACTTTTTTCGAGCTGCTAATTATCTAATGACGGTAACTTTTTGGTCAAACTTTTTGTGCTGTAAATGTTTTAAGAAGTGGAATCCTTAGAATGACACATTGCACTTTGTACAAGTGAAGAATATGTGTTATAAAAATTCTGTTATTAGACATGATTTTTACTATTTAATGTGTTTTAAACTTTCAGAACAGAGCCATGTGAGAAACTGGCTGTGTATAGGCCTGAAGGACGTTTTCCATCTTTCATGTGAAACTCTCTTAACTGTGATATACAGACTGTTCCAGACGAAGTGAGACACAACCGTCAACTGTAGGATAAGCATGTGTCCCAGTATGATTAGTCTCTAAGTCATGTTATCAGGGTGCGCCTGTTTACTATATATCATGTTGTATGAACCTACCTCACTCAGACAACTCTGTATGCTCATGCTGACTTGTCTCCTTGCTGCAACTAAAGAATACTGCTATAACCCTCCCAGTGACTTCATTGCTCTGTTTGAAAATTCTTTTGACAATCTGGAATGTATAAAAATAAAAAGACTGTACTGAGATGTGTTAATATAAACAAAGAATTAATCATACAGGAAAGATGGTTTCTCATAAAAAAGCTATACTGACAAATGCTTTTTATCCAGCAGAGGATTTCCTAAATTTTGCATTTATTTCTCCCCTGTTGCAAATTACTCACACAGAGCTAAGCTTCACTTGTGAGACCAAAGTGACTTGGATTTCATCCAATTATAAATCAGTATAGTTCCAAATCTAGGCCTGCTGAATCAATAGGCCTCATCCTGTGATCCACTGTGATTCTCAGTATTTATGATCTTCAAAGTAGCTGTGTTTAGGTGCATTCATAAGAAGTCGAACTACGGTATATCTGGGGAAAGATAGTGTAGCTCTAGGTGGCAAATTAATATAGATTAATATTTGTAGCTTGAGGGTGGATGTGTGTGTGGAAACTAAATATTCTTCCTACAGCGGCAGTGACGGCTTAGTTTCTGGCCAAGCAAATTAGTCACCAGTCAGTCATTCAGTGCAAATACACCATTTAAGATAAATGCAAAAACACTAAGCAGATATAGAAAGTATAGTCATTACTAGAACAAACAGCAAATAAAGAACTATTCACCCAAACCATACAATATTAGTGTTTATACCCTATGATGAACAGTAAGACTTGAAAACAGTGGAGCATTTTTGTTGCTGTTGCTCTTCAGTCAACCCTCTGGTGTGTACAAACATTTTTTTGAGCTTTAGTCATTGAATGTTCTGCTTTTAGGGGATACTGTGCTTTCTTTGGACCCAACAAGTTTGTACTTCTGTGGAATATTAGTTTACATATGTACTGTAATCAAAAAGGGAGGGAAAGTCAAGAAAATGATACATGCAGTTAATTTGTTAAGCTTTGAAAGAGACTATGGGATTCATATTTATTTTTAAAAAACTGTGAATTTTTTGCTCTTTATGATGAAGGAAAAGCTGTTTAGTCACTTACTTCTGAGGTGAAATCATCTGTCCTTTGGAAATATTTGCAAGCTTCATTTTGTTTTGGGGTGGTGAAGGTTCCTCATTCACAGTTAAGGAGGATGCCTTTTGAAAACTGAAAACTTTAGGTCTATTTAGTGTGTTTACTTTTAGGTCCTAGTATACAGATGGGTATTTACAATGAAAAACAGCATCTCCAACAGCAAATAGCTTTTGCTGCTTTAAAGAGTCAGTTTCAGTGAGATATTCTTGATCTTTATCTGTAGCATTACCATGTTTCTTTTTCTGGTTTGTTACAGGCTACACTGTGATGACAATCTGATGCTGTTCTGCCAAGGTAAATGAAAGTGAAGATTTTGAATATGATGAATATTGTAAAGCTTGATAAAACAGCAGAAAATTAAAGGCAGCCTAGGCAGTAAACAGCGGTGATCTATTGAGCAGCTGGACATAAACAGAAAAGATTCACAGAACAATTTGTTCTTGAGATGCCACCATGTACTGATGAGCAAACCTTGAATAAAAACTCTATGAGAAGAAATGTTTTAGTAGTCACTCAGGAAACTTGGTAATAATATTTTTTGAGATTATTAATATAGTGATAAACTGCAAATGTAACTGCTATAACATATCCCACAGTTGGCATTATGAACACTATGGCGTGTTTTTAAAAAGAAGCAGAAATAAATTTACAGCAGGAACATGACGAATGTTCCCTGCAGCACAGTTGACTTAGGGATGACAACAGTAATGAACAGCAGAGGGAAACAACCTGAAATGAAGCATGATTTTCATAATTGACACCAATTTCTCTTAACAAAAGACTAAAACTGGGGTGCAAACATTCTTCTCTGGGAAAAAAAAAATGTTAGTTTGGCTTTGTTTACAGCTAATCTCAGAAAAGGCAGCCCTTAGCAACCTTTTGTGACTGCACAGCAACCCAAACACATCCAGTTCAATCTGCAAACTCATGACCTGACTGTATCCTTTGTCTTGCTGTGACTTGTTAGCTCCCTGCTGTAACTGTGAAAGCATACAAAAAGCTTGAGCTATAGCAAATATCACAGCTTGGTGAAGTTTGTGCCACTTGCATTTTTACACATGGACAAGGTGGAGGCACATCAGAACTAAACAAAAATATTTCCATTGCTGCTGTTTCCTCGGCTGGTATTTAAGACGGCCTAATTATTCAGGAATGAGCTAATTATTGTTATTTGTAGCCAATTATTTTACAAAGAGTAGAATGATTTGGCAGTGCCTACCTGCTAAGTGCCAAACACACACAGTATAGCAAAATTGTTCAGGACTAATGATGCTGAATCAGCTGGATGGTCAATTTGCACAGCCGGGGAGAAGTGATGGCTCCACAATGAGCAGAGAAATATAGCCCACTGTCTCCATTGTACTGTCCTTGTGAGAACACTCTGCTATTAGCAAAAAATGAAACAAATGATTAACAACACATTTAGAAAGATTTTCTCCTCAGTTCTTTTCCACAGTAGTGAGGCATGTGTCCTCTCTCCCTCTAAGTTTGCCAGACTGTTGCTGTGGTCAAAGCTCGATCCCCGGAACAGGGCAGACGTTTATTCTGTTGGGGTGGTGGCGACTGGGCTGAGGATGGGCATGGGTGAGTCCCTCACTGGACATATTGGGGAGATGGCCTTATGGCTGAAGTACTCCACTACTTGTTTGGGCACCTCTGCCAGAACACATTTGGCCAGGGCTGCAGGTGAAGCCTTCAACAGAGACAGAGAACAGCTGGGGCTGTCAAAACAACTGTTAAATATTGTTTTAATCTGAGATACAGAACATTTTCTAGTGACATTATTAGGGTCTGTTTGTTTGTTTTCTGTGATCAGGGGACTAGGGAAAGTGTTAGGGCTGCTTTTCAGATAAAATAAAGTGCTAATGTCAGATTGTGTATTAAATAATATGTTTTGTTCATGACTTTAGTCTTGCAGTTTTGGCATTGCAGTAGTTCAGTGTTTTAATGTTTAACTGGTGTGTATGTGTGGGGAATAAAAATACGATTGTTTAAACATATTCAGAAAGACATTTAGTCCAAACCAGGATACATATGTCATATACAGCTGCACACCAGAAGTGGCAGCCATTGTAGTTGCTACATTAAAAATACATTTTTAGGGTCTATGATGCCCATCTCTAGAATTACTAAAGCTAGCAAAATTGGTCTGTTTAGTCTTTTAAATAACCAACGGGCATTATATAAAAATGATATAATGTTCATCAGTATTACTAGCACAACAATAGTCAGAGGAAGTGGGGCTAAAGAAAAAGCTAAAATTCAACGAGTAAAGTTGAAGTTGCGAACTGACCGTTTTGAAGTCTCTGAAGGGCACAAATTGCACAATGTCCCGGAGGACCGGCTCTCCCTTTGGTGACCGTAGGACTCCATCATCTCCATCCAAAATCTGCATGTCTGTGAAGTCTGCATTGCCCACACCAACAATGATTATGGAAAGAGGCTGGTAGGAGGCTCGCACAATGGCTTCACGCGTGTCTGCCATGTCAGTCACTACACCATCGGTGAGGATGAGCAAGATGTGGTATCGCTGGAAGACGATAAGAGCTTTCAGTGTGAATTAATCCATGTTAATGCTGACCCATTTTAATATCACTGTGTCGTTATAAGCAAGGATGCCCCTCATTATGTGCTACAGTTTGAACTAGAACAGAAAACTAAAGACAGTGTGGCTACCTTATAAACTACAGCAGAAACATGTGCATATGTAAAATTAACCATGTGTTTGTGGTACATTATAATATGAATAGTGCAGTGCAATAATGTTAACATGGAACAATAGACTGTAATTTGGATTTTTTTTCATGTGTGGTGGCTAGTTTTTGGTACCCTGATATTGACGAGTAAATAACATGAAGATTATTGGAATTACAGTAGTGTAATATTTTAGAACACACTGTTCATTCAGCTGGTGGGTAAAGATTCATGTTTTTACTACCAAGGTGACATTAAGAACATATTAGGAGCACAGTACCATATCTTGATTAGTCACTTCTCTTAAATCACATCTTAAAAGCCAGGAGCTATAGTGCTGTCATTTCTAACACAAATTTTAGATAATGAATATGTCCAAAAAAATAAACCATCAGTACAGCACAGTAAATCTTCACTCTATTATTTAAAGTACAGTAATTAATTTTATAATGAGCCTCCTCTTTTGTGGAGTAGGGCATCATTACTATAAACAGGGAACTATTCTTCTCATTTGAGGAAATCAGTGGGTGGCACACCAACAAAGCCTGAATTACATCCATATATTTGTAACAGAGTAAAAAAGGCCCACTCACAGAAGCATCTTTAATGTTGCCGTCACCTGCTACCAGCTTGGCTATCCTGTTAATGATGGGAGAGACATTGGTTGGGCCATACAGTTGGATCTTAGGAAGGCAGTTCTGGTATGCCTCAACCACTCCTTGGATCGCTGATCAAAGAGCACAGAGCAAAATGAAGGAAACATCAATTCAGTGCTCTACATTTGTCAATAAACAAGAAACTCTAAACTAAAAGGTACAGTCAGCTGAATCATTCACTGTGGTCTAGCTAAAATTTCTAAGTGGCCTGAATGTGTCTTCTGCCTCGCTCATGCTACAGAAGCTCCTGTGAGAGAAGCAAAGTTTTATAGCTCAGTATATTCACATGTATTTTCACAAATAGCTATGAAATCCACAAAAACACTTGAAAATGGTTATGATGGAGTCAATCATATGAATGAAACCAGAGAAAGCACACAGAAATGCTCACAAAAGTTGGTACAGGGCAGGTAGTTTTCTTCTTTACAGTTAGATGTTAAGGCTCTATCATGTATTAATTTATCTGAATTATACTAACATTTGTGAGGTGGAACCTGCTAACCAGCAGTGAGATTTTAGCAGCTGTGTTGTCAGATTACAAAAGTTAATTTCAGTATCATCAGCATAGACATGCACTTCTCAGGAGAAACGGATGTTCAGGGCATTTCTTACCTTCACATTCATCATCCTTAGGGTTGAAATTAATGGCAAAATCATGAGACACCTGTGGATAGAGAAAGAGAAAACTGTCACACTGCTAAGTCGGAGGCCTTGGGAGCAAACTTAAACTAGGAAACAGTTAGTTTTCCTACAAGAAAATCTGACAGTCAACAGTACAAAAGTGACACCCAACATATCAAATTATACTGGGAGCCAGTTTACCACCAGTCAGTTTGATTAGTAAGAAGGAAGTAGTTAAGTTTTAATATTACAATACAAATAAGATGCTGTATATGCACTTCTGGAGTAATAGCCTAATTTTCACTTTGAGTTGATTTACGGTGACCACAACAAAATTTAAAGGTTGCATGATAAAGTAAGATGAGATGTACATTATGTGCATCAGTAGAGACCTAATGTCTGATATATTGGTTCAGCACAATTAGTTTTGCATATAAATTAATACTGTGATAGACTGGATGTGTAATTTTCTGAATCATGACTAATGAGCATATAGGATATAATATATGCTTAATACTGTATACTGGGTCTGAAAAGAGATTGCAATCCCTGTTCCTTTACCTGACATCCACATATCATATCAACTTTGTTCATCTTAAAGCTGTATAACTAGCAAAAATTAAAAACCCTTCTCTCTCACAAGAAATAGTTTTATCCACAAGCACCAACTGTCTCCTGTCCACCTGGCCACTTTTTTAAAAAGTCATTTTAGTTAGTAATATGATTCTGATGTGATTAATGTGATGCCTTTAATGTGTGTAACCTGAACTCAGTAACCGTACTGATACAGTAGAAAATAACACGAACCACCATTTGGTTTTGGCATTGGATCACTGCAAGAGGGGGGAGCAGAGAACCTCTTTTGTATCTCACCATAGTAGACATTTTAAAATGATATCACACAAAAACAGGGACACTTAAGCATTTATAATGTTATTACTTACACCTGTACTTTTCCTGCTACTGTACAACAAGTCTTATGTTCCAGTTTAGCCTGTTTGCCAAAGTAGATCAGGAGTAAAAAAGATATACACATTTACGGACAACCAATTCACTGGAGAGTTTTGGCAAATGTTGTCCATCATTATCAGGACATTGATGAGAAATTAAATGGTTTGGACATCTGATTGATCAGGGAAAATCCTGCAAATGCTGACATACCTACTGTGTGTGTTACTCTCTCTCTCTCTCTCTCTCTCATTTTCTATACCGCTTAGTCCCGAACGGGGTCGCGGGGGGGCTGGAGCCAAACCCAGCCAGCATCGGGCAAAAGGCGGGGTACACCCTGAACAGGTCGCTGGTTCATTGCAGGGCCAACATGCAGACGAACAACCACACACATGCTTGAGGCCAGTGTGTCTGCTGCATGTGATGTGATGCTGATGTTTTACTATGGTTGCCAAATGAATTTACAGAAGCTTGGGAGCAATGAACTGGACTGTTCTAAACAGGCAAACACACCTGGGTTTGTTTAACTACACCAGCCCAGTTAAGTTACTTGTAAAGTCTTAATAAATATTCCTTAATAAATATTAGCATTGACTGGTGTGAGTTTTGCCTGGAATATCTACGGTTATAAAGAAATATTTAAAACCTGAAACTAATTTTCAAGGCTTTAAATTTACAAAACACAGTGGGCCATTATTTATTGTGATGAAAAGTGAGGCTCCCCATTAATTCCCACAACCTACTATCTGATGCATCCTTGGCTGGCAAATTAACATCTTGAGTCTGTTTCTATTTATATTTGCTTTCTAATCACTACTAGTATGCATAATACATAATTAACAATAACAAGTGTACAACAACAGATACTGAGAAAGAGCCCAGGTCCATCATATACGCACACAGGTGTAGCCTGTGTGTTCATATATGGAGTTCACCAAACACAGTGGTGAACAGCACACGGTAGAATAAATCTGATCATTCAAGGCAGTCACTGTCATGGCAGATTCAGAAATTAATAGTTTGTATTTAATAAATAGTTAATCTTTGCATCAAGAAAAAATAATTATTAGTTTATCACACTGGAACATAGCACTTTACAGTCTAACATTAAACATGGGTCACTATGTTGTGTGTCACATAATCAAACAGCATAGCGATTCAACTGTGTGTGTGTGCCTTTGTATTACTTACATTATGGGGACTGGAACCTGTTAATACACTCACATTGTGGGGGCTCAGCCATCCTTGTGGGGACCAGAGGCTGGTTTTTGAATTTTAGGGTAGCAACATAGTTTAAGGTTAGGGTGAGGTTAAGTGTTAGGGTCAGGGTTAGGGCTAAGCAAGTAGTGGTTATGGTTAAGGTTAGGATAAGTCTACAGGAAATTAATGTAAGTTAATGTAAAGTCCCCACAAGGAATGAAAACACAACATGTGAGTGTGTGTGCGTGTGTGTGTGCATGCCCACTCATCACATGTCAGATGTTTCCTTTTGGCTCTGCTCAGAATCACTGAAGGCTTTGGTTCTCAAAGTTTGATTTACTTAAACAAATGCTCTCACAGTCACAAATTCTTATGTAAATTAAGAATCGACACCACAAGGCTCTTATTTAATTGGAAGATATAATTTTTTAAGAGAAGTTGATATTTTAAGACAAGGGGCTGGTGATTAAAAAGAAACTCGCTAATTAGTTTTCGATGTGAAATTCTGACAAAATGAAAAACTGTGTCATAAAATACACCCTAAATTATGGAAATCAGCTGCTTAACATAAAGTCCGCAGACAGTGGGAAATACTACAGCACAGGAATATATGCAAAATATCACCTTTATGAAAGAAAGATCAATGTAACAGAACAAAGAGAAGTTAAGGATGGACAAATAACATGGAGTGCACAGATAAGAACAGTTATACTCACCTCATAATTTGGAGGGATTCTGGCACCAAATCCCAAAGCAGAAAATCTTTTGTCACTGCAATAGTAAGCAAATTAATCAGTCATATGTCATGGTTACTGTGGTTTTATCTGAGGTACTATAGCTTTGATAGTAATCTGAAAAATATTGATGCTTATCCATCTGTTCACATTTCCAGGGGCAAACCCCCTGCTTGTTTGCATTTCATAAATGTTAAAAGCTTGAATTACAGTTTGAAATCTGAAGATTGCATGTGCACCTGTTCAACAACTATCTCACAGGCTTTATTCTCTCCATTTTTCATTGCACCAGAACAGCTGATATTATGGTAAGATGCTGGATTGTGTTCTTGTTGTTGTGAAAGGCAAATATATCAATATATATCAGTATAAAGAACAAGACAAAGGGTTTGTCTGAAAATACCTCAAGAGAAGTGCACTCTTTTTACCCTCTGCTATTTTATTTGTTCCTCAGAATTCTGAGAATGAAATGCATCCACCATATAGTGCCCTTGAAAATTCACACAATGCAACAAAAAAGAGTAGTGTCCTTGGTATATGCACTACCTTCTGCTATAAGTAACACAATGTGTCGCATTTTATAGACCCATTACAGCAAGTCCTCCAACCTGAACAATATATATTGCTTGTCCCTAAATACAACCCATAAGACACTTTGGGTGACACACACTTACTGGACCTTTCTCTTCCTCTTTTGCTTGTATCATAATTACTAAAGTTGCTACAGGTTGCCTATAACACACTATGGTAAATAGACATACTGTACTTGCATAGCGCTTTTCTATGCACTGAAAGTACTTTCATCCATTTGCACACACAAACACACACGCAACTGCTAATACAAAGGCACACACACACACACACAGGTGATGTCACCGGGAGCAAATCAGGGTTCAGTGTCTTGCCCAGGGACACTTCAACATGTGGACTGGAGAAGCTGGGGATTGAACCGTCATCCCTGCTGTTAGGGGAAGACTCACTCCTGAGCTACTGTTGGCTGTTAGTAGAAGAAGCTTTATTTTATTGTCATTGTAACATTGTGTAACAAAGTTTTTAGGCCAAGGGGCCCCGGGCCGCTGCGTGCATATGCGCCGCCATCACGGGTAACTTGGGGGCTTCAGTGTCTTGCCCAAGGACACTTTGACATGTGGACTGCGGGTACCGAGAGTTGAACCTTCAACCTTCCGGTTGGGAGACGACTGCTTTACCCACCGCACCACTGTCACTGCTCACATAAAAACACAAGGACTCTCTCTTTTTTTTTTTTTTACAGGACGACAGTTGTATCCGTTAACCCATTCAGGTACTGACAATGATACTCAAGTGTCACATATGCAATTGTACTGCTAAATATAGCCTAAACTAAATGAGTAGATGAGAGATTGCTCTTAAAGGAAGCTGAAGGGTGTTCGACTCTTGCCATTGTAATCAAGTGATAATGATCCAACAGCAGCAACCCAATGTAAAATGGATAGAATTATGTTAATTTGCCTTTTAGGAGAAAATTTTTTTAGAACACTACAATCATTACAATGAATAGAGAAAGCATTAAAGTAAACTCAGACCTGAGCCTGTAGTTCACATTTTTACAGCTAATGGAAACAAAATTTGCACATTTGAGGGATACAAAGGCAATGTTGTTGTGTAGGTACACTGGACAGTGAAGCTCAAAATGAAAATGCACTACAAAAGGCAATTTACTGTTTCAAATACAGCAGGGATTAATGCTAAACTTAATGGCTGTGGAATATTCATACATCACTCTTCTGATAGTTTTCTTAGTATTTTATTTCCCTTGCAAGTCACCTTTTTTCCCCCTGGAGTACTCCTTTAATGCCATTTTGTATACTAAATACAGAGACAACAGCTAATACTATGTTTATTGTAATACAATAAAGTTTGTGCAATCTAAGATAAGCAGCTGAGCTGTCACAGCTTGTTTTCAGACTCACATCAGTGATTGTTTGCTTACAGACAGCTTTCTCCAGTGGCTGTCTCCCTTATCAAAGCACATTTACTGTATTTCATGCTTTCATGACAGACAAAACAAATTGTCCAGCTCAGTGCAATCACAAAAAAAATCTCCTGCACAACAGAATCTTAGTTTATGGCACAAACAGCTAGAATTATGTGTTTAATTAATTTATTCTGGACATGGTGTGGGTGCATGAAGGGCTATACAGGAAAATTTACACTATTAATGAGTGTTGATTTGAGAAGTGTTTGTCCGCCCATAGAGCTAATGGCTTTGAGGCAGCTACTTTTCAGAGGTTTCAGAAGTGTTTAATTAACTTCAATAGGTATAGACTTATAAAAACATTGGCATAATGATGGGCTTCACTCTCTCAGAGTGAGCAATAACCTCTTAACTGCACGCTCTTGACAGAAGCAACTTTCATTTGGCGTATTATTAGTAGCTCTACTATAATAATTAGTAGTAATTGCTGATATTGCAGCACTGTTATTACACTAACATTAAAACATACAAGTTTGATTTATTATTATTACTAAAGGATTCACTGTGGCTGTAAATGGTAACAGCAATAGTCCATAGGCATTGGAAATTTGGAGCTCAGTAACACTGAATATGATACATGGGCCATTTTGAGTGCATATCAGTTGCCATCATTATTCTATATTCAAGGACAAAAAGATAAACATGTGAATGAGTCCAACCTTTATTCTCTGTAATGTAACCTCTCCACGTGCCCTGGCTAATGTGCTGACTGTATCCACATATAAACACACTCCAGTGACAATATTCTGAACAAATTAATAGATTTTAGTGTCCAATGGGTGATAAAAAGATGTCTCTGCTCTAAACTCACCTTCAACATTAACATGTGTTCCACTCACTTTCATCCACTAAATACAGGCTTTACTCCCACTGTTTAGATTTTTCAAATAACCTGAGGCACTTTGTATGGATCCAAAATAACAGGAAAAAACTAATGGTGTTTTTGGTTTTATACCGGTCTCAGAAACTTCACTGATTGTATAAAAAAAAAACTTTTAACATGTTTATCCAATTTTAGATTTATTGTATTTTTGTTATTGTTAACAAGGCAAACATTCACTACTCATTACCCCAACCTCTCTACTCTTTGTCCCTTAAGCTATCTTAGATTTATTTCTATGTGCATTTTACAAAAGTCTGAAAAGATCATCAAAACTCTGGAGGTGTAGACATAACACCTTCAGCGCAAACAAGGGAAGAGAAAGAACTACTGACAAGTCACTTCCATCCTATGCAATTTGCTGTGAGGTGCATGGTGGCCCTTTGTTTTCTCTCTGTCAGCATATGTGAGGAGCCACAGGGCAATGCGCCTGGTATAATAGCCCTCAAAGCAAGGTAAGCGAACCTCTGCCCACAAAGACCAAAACTAGTCATTCCAGCTCTATAATGCACTCCTCTGCAAGGTCTCTACAATCCCACATCACCTAGATTCACTAAAAGCTAAAAGGTTTGCTTGCCCACATTTTTCACCTCAATAACAATTCAAACTTAAGAGGAAAGGCCTGCCTACACTTGCAATCACTGTTTGCCATGAGGCATGTTTACGTTTGACACTCTTATGTATCAATGCAAGCACATAAATGACAAAGTTACATGGATGGGCTACTTATTCTCAGGCAGGTCTTCTTGTGTCTCCAATGCTATTTCTTGGATGCTCTAAATAGCCTGACAGCATCTATCCATCCATTATCTAGACCGCTTATCCCGCAAAACCGCTTAGATTGGGTTTGGTTTATTGGGTTATTTGCTAAAATACAAATCAATAAGTGTGAGATGTGATGTGTGTAGAATTATTTTCTGTTTCACTATAATGGGTTTGAAATAAATGAATTAATACATTTGTTAGAAATATCTGCCACATGACGTTTAGGCAAAAATTCAAAAAGGAAGATCTCTTTCCTCACATTGTGCTTATTCCACAGTGGGTTGATGCAGGCTGTTTATTTTGGATCAATTTTTCTCCGTCATCTGCTTTCTCACACTGTCAAATCTCCCTCCAACTTAGTTAATTTGTCTCACCAACAGGCCTGTGTTTCTTGAGTCAATCAGTCACTGGCTGCTGCTCTTTCCCCTTACAACACCATAACCTCCATGCTGTCCAGGGTCACAGTCTAAGGCCTCATCCATCTACCTGTCAAATGCTCTGCACCACCACTAGATTCTAGACTCTGGGTGACCCATCCTATCTCCTGTCATCATGTGGGTTCATGCGGACCTACACCTAATGAAGATGCTTCACATCACAAGAGTATAATTGGCAAAATCTGTGTGTGGCACAGCTCCAAAAATTGTTAGTCACTTCTTGGCTTGACCTCTCCTTATTGAAATAGCTGTTAGTAAGCAAAGATATGTCAGCACAGGATTTAAATATATGATTGCCATTGACGGTTACAAAGTAATTTTTATGATAGACTGTTAAAAGCTGGAAATTAATGGATACTTTAAAGAATGGCTAGTTAATAAGGAACCATAAAAGAGTGTGTCTGTCTGTGTCCTTGACTGCTGCTACAAAGAGCCAGCTTCAGCACCAAATTAGCTTCATGAATAAGTAATGCCAGTAGAAGCCAAATTTACTTGCTCTAATTTTGGAACATAGAAACAGTTTATCATGCATTACTTAACAACAGATTAAAATGGATTTGCCAAACTGAACATGATGCGGACAAAAGGACTTGTGCAGCAAGTAACCGAATGCTTTTTGATGACGTGAGAAAGTGGAGAAAATTAAAAATGCAAATCATTTTAGTGAAAAAACAAATTGGAGCTGGCAGTCAACTGTTATGTTCCATCAGCTCTGTAATAACCTGGTGAGCAAAAATATAATAACCCACAGTATTCTGTGCCATACTGCTCAGTGCTTCATGTTTTCCATTACAGCCCTTTAGCTGTGGTTCAGATGGAGTGGCTCGTTTCAGTGTGAGCGATCCCACTGAAATGGCATGTAGGGAGCACTCTGCAGCTCTGTTTCACAACAGGAGATACTAACAACCCCTGTAGGCACCAAAGAGCCTTTACAAAGAAACAAAGGAGTGACAAACCTATCATAGTCTTGACAGATCTCCCCCACTGCTATCAGCGCCTTCAGGTACTCGTTGGGCTGGTAAGGGTTAATGTAGTGCAAGGAGCAGCTGTTCCTGGGGTCTCCATTGGAGGCGGTGAAGTCAATGGCAACCTAGTAGAAAGGATTACAAAGTGAGCAGCATGAACAATATGACAGATTCAATTAGCTTTTTTAACTAAACTTTTTGCAAAGCCTTTTACTTGGCTGTCTAACATATTACAAACCATTCTGTGTAAGCGAGCCTGAAGAATACCTAATGGCAGTATAAATTATCTGATCAGAAGTAAGAGCTTGTACTTTTTTACACCCACATAGATTGAAGCAGCTACAGCTCCCATACACTGTAGATCTAAGCAGCCTGCTATTCCAACAAGAAGGAATTGAATCTACCAGAGTTGTTTTAATGATTAATATTTATTGTTTCAGTTATCCAGCCAGTGAGCAAGAAGTAGCACAACAGAGGGCAAATCAAAAAAGAGTGGAAGAAGGTCTAAATCAGGGGTGCCCAAACTTTTCCCCTCGGAGGGCCAAAATGAAAAAGCATTGCTGGGCTGAGGGCCAGGTGGGCAACGGCGGCGGGGGGGCGGGGGGTTTTCCAGGTGCACTTTCTGATTGAAATGTGTTTATTATAAAGGTATTTAACATTTCACTCTTTGTACAAAGAACAGGAAGCAAATACAAAGCAAATGAATCTTTATTTAGCCACAAATTATGTCCATATGCATGTCCATATTAACAGCAAACAGCAGCAGTTTGACACTATTAGTGAGACACATGAAGCTGGTCTTTGGCTTTGACCAGCCTCTCAATGTCAGGCTGAAGCTGACTAACTGAGAGGGTGAGAACATCCTGCAGTTGTAGACCAGTCAGCGTGCCTTTGAGCCTGGTTTTGTTAAGGTTCATTACACTGAAAGTCTGTTCACAAATGTAGGTGCTGCCAAACAGAGATAACATCACCTGTGCATGCTTCCTAATGTTTGGGTACCGTTCTGGTGAGACGTGTGTAGAAGTCCTTCAGCTTCAGTGACATGAATTTATTCCTCAGCTCTGAATCGCACTGAAACTCAATCAGCTCCATCTGAATGTGATCAGGGACACAGTCCACACTTGTGCTGAAGGGTTGGGAAAACAGCTCCATGTCACCTGAATTCTTCCTGAAGTCCTGAAAGCGCATTTCAAACTCCAGGTCTAGGTTGCTGACAAGTGTTGCATATTCAGACAGTTTCTGTTGTACCAGGTTTACCTCTCTCAGACTGGGGAAGTGAGCCAGGTTTCCTGAAAAGAAGTAAAAAGTAATTAATAATTATCAATGCAATAAAAATTGCAATTTTCACTCACTAGTAATGTCATATTCCACATATCATACAACTGACAGTTCTGTTCCTCCGCATCACATGATCACATTACCATTAAAATGATGTATTTTGTGCAAGGCATTAACTCACCTGCTGACAGATGTCGACACAGTAGCTGCAGTTTTCTCTGAAAGGCCGTTATGTGGTCAAACATCTCCTCAGCCACCTGACCTCTTGATGGTAAAGGAGATCTTGATACTGTGCATCAATCTCTTCTAAAAGGCTTCTGAACTGGCGGTGTGAGAGTGCCTTGGAGCGAATACAGTTTATTATTTTAATGACATCACATACCACATCTCCCAGGCCAATTGATTTCGCACACAGCTGTTCTGTTCACTCCTGGCAATTAGAGCTGAAATCTACACAGCAACAACACTTACTGTATGCTATATGTAAAGTCTGTTTCAGCTTATTGCTCCATTTGATGTTTGTCTCCATGGGCCCCAGTAAACATTGCACCCTAGTTTGTCAATCTGGATGATCAGAGTTTCGTTCTGTCACTTGTCTTTTGTAAATGGGGTCTGTAGTGGACACTAAACAGTATCTCTGTGAACCATCCACATGATCACATTAGGGGGTCATTCAAGAGGGTCACATTTCCTCATTTCCTGGGACACACACACACACACACAAGCCACAGTGAGACAATTGTGAAGCTCTTGCTAATACATTAAACACTGTAAATAAACTAAAGTGAGTGAGTTAAAGTCACTCAACATTAGCAATTTGCATTCATGCCATTTGCACCTCCACTGGTGAGGGTCTCATGCCATGACATGTTGTGGAAACGGCAATGTGTGTTGTCTTTTATTTGAAGCAAAACTAGTTCATTTCAATGAAACTGCCACAACTATTAAATCCATCAAGCAGCCTACAATAAAGACAGTGTGGAGCAGAACCAAAGCACCCTCAAGAGATGTTTCAAGGATAAAATGGTCTTTAAATATCATCATTTAACAATTAGAAAATGCAAAAAACCTCACATGTGCCAGCAAGAAGTCATACCAAATAAAAGGAATTTGACAGTGTGAATTCATATGGCTAGGGTCAGTGCACTTAAAAGCTCAATGAGAGTGAAGCGTCACTAAACACAAACTGCTCAATTTACCGTAAAGTGAATCTGGCATCCTCCCATGATGTAATCTAAGAAGGAGTACACTCTGTGGAGCTGCGAGGAAAAACAGAGTATTTCTTAAAAGCAAAACCTCAGAAGGGGTGACTGAGTGGGAGAGTGAATGCTTAGTCCAGCTAAGATGTTTGAAAAATATGGTCCTTGAAGTGGAATTTACTCAGCAAATTTGTTGACTGTAAAATGGTTGTGATACATCTAGTCAAAACAGAAACTAAAAATGCCCTTGGTATAAATGATCAGTAAAGTTTCTCATTATATATACACAGTGACAGAAGCCCAGCAAGATTGTACAAGACATACTATACATGCAAAAAAGAATTTATTGCTAAAATATTCACATTCCTGAAATTGAAAAGAACTGCTCCATACAACAAAAAGCTCCTGAATTTGTTTTATTCATGTATTCCTTCATTGTTCTGATAAAGATGAAATATATGTATTTTTTGCAGCAGGCGCTTACCTTAAGGTCACTGAGGATGACGACTCCTGAATTTTTATAGTTTCTCTTCTTCTGTTTGTATTTAGGATTAACACAATCCCACATCACCTTAAACAAAGCAAGTGGGAGACAGAGAACATGAGTGGCAACTTAAGGCATTTTTCATTTTTCACTTAAGGCAACATTGTTGGCAAATCTTAAGCACCAAGACATTTGTTTCATCTGTGATAGGGCTCAGTAGAGTAAACTGCAATGCACATTAGAGTGTGTTGTGTTCAGCCTCTATTCACTGACCTGATTTCCACTGGAAATTTTCTGCATTTCCCTGAATGTGGCATAGAACTCGCCAATGAAGTCATGCTTCCCCCTGGAGTCATAATCCCAGACTAGGCACTGTGGTACACGCAAACAACACTGTTTAGTGCTTTCTGTCAATATAGCCATGGTTTCTGACTCCAGCTAAATTAAACTGGTTGTACAGATTCTTAATACTGCGGTTTTTGATGGTGCGAATGGTTCTCTAATGACCCCTTACCTTGAGCTTCCGGTCCTCGTCACAACTGCACAGGGATATGAGAGATACTTTGAAAGGCTCCCACACAGGGTTCAGGTTGTTTTTAATTACCTGTTAAGAGTAGGACCATATTACATATGAAGCAAAGTGTTAAAAAATGCATTAACAGCTGTTGATGAAACTGAAGAAGGAATATCGTGGCTTTACCTCAGTTCTGTGAACAAGCTGTTCGGTTTCATCATCATTTATTCGATATATTTCCAAAAATGGGTCTGACTTGCTGAAGAGATCCTGGAGAAACAGAGAAAACAGAATATCAATGCTACAAACCCACTGGGTCTTTTAATTAGAGGCCCCCGAAATAACCGGTTCATAGGTAAGATTTTGTTTTATTTAACTAGTATTCCCACTGCAGTTAGAAATTTCTTTTCCAAGGAAGCCCTGAGCAAGACAACAGCATCATAAGATCCAGACAAAAATACACATACAGTGGTGTGAAAAAGTATTTGCCCCCTTACTGATTTCTTATCTTTTTGCATGTTTGTCACACTGTAATGTTTCAGATCATCAAACAAATTTAAATATTAGTCAACGATAACACAAGTAAACACATCATGCAGTTTTTAAATGAAGGTTTTTATTATTAAGGGAAAACAAAATCCAAAACTACATAGCCCTGTGTGAAGAAATGTTCGCCCCCCTGTCAAAACATAACTTAACTCTGGTTTATTGCACCTGAGTTCAATTTCTCTAGCCACACCCAGGCCTGATTACTGCCACACCTGTTCGCAATCAAGAAATCACTTAAATAGGACCTGCCTGACAAAGTGAAGTAGACCAAAAGATCCTCAAAAGCTAGACATCATGCCAAGATCCAAAGAAATTCAAAACCAAATGAGAAAGAGAATAATAGAGCTCTATCAGTTTGGAAAAGGTTATAAAGCCATTTCTAAAGCTTTGGGACTGCAGCGAACCACAGTGAGAGCCATTATCCACAAATGGCGAAAACATGGAACAGTGGAGAACCTTCCCAGGAGTGGCCAGCCGACCAAAATTACCCCAAGAGCGCAGCGACAACTCATCCAAGAGGTCACAAAAGACCCCACAACAACATCCAAAGAACTGCAGGCCTCACTTGCCTCAGTTAAGCTGAGTGTTCATGACTCCACCATAAGAAAGAGACTGGGCAAAAATGGTTGTTTGACGATCTGAAACATTACAGTGTGACAAACATGCAAAAAGATAAGAAATCAGTAAGGGGGCAAACACTTTTTCACACCACTGTATACAACATTAAAACAATAAACCAGTAACAATGCCAATAATAAATACAAGCAGACAATATTTCATTTACCATTTAATTTATTATAGTCTTAAATTCTGTCAGTGATTTATTATGTTAACTTCCCTCTACAACCTGAAATGTGGAAGCTTTCTTTCCAGACACTGGGGACAGAGGGTAGATTGGTGTCTTGTGATCTTATGCCTGGAAAATTAGCTCCTTGAAATATGTTTGCAAAGATATGGGCACAGTTGATCTAAATTAGCTTAAAATATACCAATGATGCAAACAGTGCATAGAGTAAGATGACTGGCCAACTCTGAAGTACAGAACAGAGTGATGGCTCTACTCCTTCTGGATTCTTCTAGAGACTATCATTTCCCCATCCAGCCTCAACGTGCCCCAGATTTTCCCTCAGTGATCTCTAGTGGTCTCTGAATTCTTGCATTGGCTGTTTCCTCAAGAAATGTTACATCTTGTGTGTAAAATAAAACCCTAATTCCAGTCTAACTTTTTTTACAAGGCTTTCAACATGTTGCTTAAATGAAAGACAGTCATCAGGCCACACAGCAAGATATTTATGGCATGTAACAACATCCAGTTTTCTTCCCTTGACATGCCACAATATCAATAGTGACCGATGTTTTTTTCTTAAAATAGAAAATTACATTATATTGGTTTTGTTGCCATTTAGTACTAACTTCAGTTCAAAGAGTTGAGACTGTAAATGCAGACTGAGGTTTGTGCCTCAGTGAGTGAGGGTGCAAAACTGTTATCAGCATTGCAGTGAGTATGTGTTCCATCTTAATCCACATCTATTTTATTTATATAAAGTGAGAATAAAAGTGGTCCAAGCACAGAGCCTTGAGGTACTCTGTTAACAGTAGGCCAATTTCAACTGAACACACTGACTTTTACACATTGAGTTGTTCCAGACAAATAATCAGAATTAAAATGCTGACTTAAGTATTTATTCAGGTAACATTGCTGTAGGTCATATTTCTTCCTACAACTATGGCAAATCAAATGCAGAAAGGTATGTATTTTCTAGAGTGTTTTTGTTTGTTTGTTTTAGCTGTATTTATTCAGGAAGTGTAATTGAAATTAATATCTACTTAAGACAAAAATTACATACATACAACATCACACTGAGGGTTTGATTTACAATGTTTTTCCTGAAGCAAATGAAGCAGATAATGTTGTCAATATTTAACATGGGGCTGTAACAATCTTCACACAAGAAAAAAATAGCAGAAAAGCATTCACAACTAAACAGGTCGATTTCTGGGTTATTTTAATACGTACCTCAGGGATGTTCAGATTATTTGTATGAGAGAAAATGGAAACTTATACAAGTGGCTGTTGACACTGATTTATCATTGCTTGATTGCAGAGGCAGAAATAATTGCCTCTGTGATTAACCATCATGAAGAAGCAGGCATACATTTTACAGCACAGCGTGGTGGCTCTTTTGGAGGCGGGATCATTAAATAAAGGAAAAAAAGAGGGAGTATGTAACTTTTTGTTTAGGGGAGAATTTGAGAATATTTTGCAAGCTTCCAGCTCATACCAGCTAATTACTTTTTTCCATAGTCACCAACTTCTTGAACCATTAGCCTCATTGACCTGCTATTTTCTCTCATACAGCCTTCCTCCCAGTTCTAAACCATCTTTATGAGTTTCTTCAACCAACATTTGAAGCTCACGAGCAGAGACTTTGCGCTCCATTACCTCCCATGTGTAAAATGCATCTAAAATTGGGTTGAATTGTTATTAATGTCCTGCATCCAAATTAATAGTGGCTGTGCCCATTTATATCATCAGTTTAGTAAATATTGAGCTACACTAAAAATGTGTTAAGATGTCACATCCTTTACACTTATTTGCGGTAGCTTTAAATCATCCCCTGAGTCTCAAGTGAGAGCAAAGCAACAATTTAGGTCAGTTGACTCTTCAGAGTGGAAAACAAAGGATAACTGTCTGCGTTTGTGTCGCTGTGGCAGTCAGGGAGGTGGGGGGGCAAGAGGGTTTTATGTACACCAAATGTGACAGCTTATGCTGCATTTCCCACTGCATTAGCCCAATACATCTCCTGAGGGGCAGAAGCAAAAAGGAGCTGTAACATCCTCCCTTTGTTGTCATGGCAACTACTAGCCAGTGGTATCGGTAGCATGGACCGATCTGACACACATGTCAAAAATTAATCACAAGCTAACAACAACAGCAATGTTAATCATTACCAGCCGATGATATCTCATGATTAATCCTGCTGTTCTCCAGCATCCGTACTGTGATCCTCAGTATTTACAACAGGTTCACATTATACAGGTGTCAAATAGCTAATTAGAAAGGGTTTGCTGCTTCAGTCATCATCTGGTTGTCCATGCTAAATGCATTGTTACGTGGACATTTTACAATCATAATAATATTAAACAGGTCTGTAGTATCTGAGGAGCTTAGTTAATTTGTCTCACCTGATTACATCTACCTGTACCTCTTATATAGTTTCATAAATGTACCCGTTAATTCTGAACTATATGTTTATACTTAAATTTTATACAGCAAAAGTTAGATTCCAAGCTATTTTTTCATTTGGCTTCTAATTATTACTTTTTCCAAAAAGGCTGGATGTGCTGGCTAAGAGGTCCTACATCAAGCACCAAAGGTTTCCAGTGTAAAAGACACCAATGACACACTCCAAGTGTGCAGTGGGTAGTCACCAAAAAACAAACAAATGTCTAACACTGGCTTCTACTATGAATTGGTTACTACGGTGAAACAGAGGTTTGGTGTGGGAATGACATTTTTTGTAAACACCAGACTGCCCACTGAACACAGAGACCAAACTGAATACCAGTCATCAACCAACTACCCAAACACTATACACTATACACTATATGTCAGCATAGTGTTTACAGTTACTGTCGCCATCCTCAAGCAGACAAAAAGAAATTCACTGCTGCTTTATCAATTCATTTCTGCACTTCTCATATCCCATCCCAGTCTCACAGAGCTGTACTTTGTTTTGCCAGAAATGTAAATTCCCTCCCTGCATTAGTGATAAAAAAACACTGCTCACACCCATGTTTATTTGACATCAAATGTTTGCACAGATGATACCAAACCCACCCAGAATCCACCACCAACACCATAACCAAACCCTGGGCTATTGTAGTCTGTTCTGTTATATTTGCAACTATCCACCTAAAGATTGGTTATTTTTTCTAACCAGAATGAAACTGTAAACAAGATCAGTGTCTTCTACATCAGTATTTTTAGATATTTGGCACCAAGAATCAGCACTTAAAGGGTTTTATTCCAAGAAATCACATTAAATAAGGTGTTGTAGGTTTTATTCAGTGATACCGTGAACACTTTTGTGTCTCAGAGGCATATGATGACACATCATTGCTTCACAGTGGTGTGCCACAGCTGTAACATCCAAACTGTAGCAATGATTTAATTGAGTATGCAGAAATCTCAGAGGCAATCATTCGGTTGAACAAAGAAAGTGTGTGGATTCTTCAGTATTGTGGGAGAAGTTAAAATTTTCCAGACTAGATATAAGCAAATATCACATACCAAGGTTAGATCCAATCTAATAGAAAAGATTTATTTTTTATTATTTTTTTAAATCATGGCCATCATGTTAGTGCCAAGTTCAATTTTGCTCTCAGAGTAGCTGTAAATTTCAAAGTCTACCTTCAAATATAAGTGTACATCCAGTAGAAAATTTGAATTTTACCTTCCAATTCCACTGGGATTTAAGAGCAACCAATGAGACTTACATCCTAAGGTTTGCTCTTGAGAACGTGGTGCGACTTCAGATCATCAGAGTCATAATTGGATGTAAGCCCCTGCTGTCTTTTTGATTGAAATGTGCCTTTAGCAAAGTTCCACAGTGTGAGAGCAGGAACAGCTAAGTTCATGTGATATCCAGCCTTTCAGTGGAACCCTATGAATTCTATAAATACAATTCACAGGTGATATTATGTGCTGTTGTGAGACTAGTACGGTATGTTCTCAGATTACCATTGTACTTTTACATGTTAGAACATTGTTACTACAAAGAGGTGACATCAAGTGTTATCATCACTTTTTTATCCTCTTGCAACATAAAAATATACACAGATTTATGGTCTTGGTAAATGGTCTATATAGCACTTTTCTGCACATCGAAGCACACTCAAAGCACTTTATACTATTTCTCACACGTTCACACACCGGTGATGATTTATAATGATGAAACACCAAAAAGTCCTTAACATATGCATAATATCAGTGCCACTGAAGCATTGTCGGTGCTCTCTGAACCTGCACAACAATATTGTGAGTATCATATTACTACTACTCCTATCCCCGTCTAGTGCTACTAAGCCACGTCTAATAAAATTTTAGCTGTATTCGTATTTCCCTTGAAAATGTGAGCTCTTCTCACCTTATCATCAAGTTTCTTGGCACAGAAAGAGAGCTCCACATATCCATTGTTGCCAGAAATTTCCTCAGCATGCACCTGAAAGGAAATAAGATTTGTCAGTAATATTTTGTACTTATGCCGTTTATTATTGGCAAGAAGTATTGACTAAATCACTTAAAAAAAAACAATCAGTTCAAGACCAAGATTTAATGCAGACTTTTATGTCTTCAAAATTATACAGTCAATTATTGTGTGAATAATTATCTGGTATTTTTCCTTTCTATTGTAAAAAGTAACTACTTCTTCACTGTGATAAACAGTTAACATAATGAATATTCTGAAGTGGCTCTTAGTTAACACAGAAATGCTGGTCATTATATCTAGACAGTAACAAGTGCCATTGGGTCCAAACTACCGTCTTAACTTGTGCATTTAACCTTTTATGGATATAAAATTTAGCCCATACTGTAAAGTGCAACAGTAAAGTTGTGCAACAGACGGCTCTCTGAATGGCTGCCGTAGCGTTTGTTTAGACATTAGTTACACGGCAAAAGTTCAGGACAGCCTGTTTTAAGAATCCATATTTCACCCTCTGCTGCTCCCTCTAGGATGCCTGGCTCACTCCCAGAAGACAGAAGCTTGCTCTTTCTCTGTTCCTCTATTTGAAACTGATGAAAACTTAAATAAAACATGGCTGTCCAGAGGGTTGGTAAGGCCTGACAGTGATAATTGGCAAAGCAGGAAACTTGTGCTTTTGATGAAGCAGCTGGTACTGACAGGTACCAAGTGCAGGAGAAAATCTTTATAAGCAGTGTGGGCAGAAGGTGTGTCGGTGTAGCTCTCTCTGTGTAACAGAGTGGGCTCCTGTGTTTCTATTCTTGTTGGGTCCCAGTTGAGGTTAAGACCTTGAGAGCAAGTACATTCTGGTCAATTTGTACTTTTTGCAAAGGGCTATTTAAAGGTAAGTATTTGGTTTCAGGGTTGAGTTTAGAATGAAATGTTCTGTATTTTTCTGTTATTCTGTATAAAGTTCTGTACTAAATGTATGTGTCTGTATATCACACAATATATAAATACTAACATATATATATATACACACTTTCTATAAGGCAAAACAATCAAATGATAAAGATGATTGCACAAATGCAAATGTACTTAAAATATATTAAACATATTGAAAGCATATGGACTTGGTGAATGAATTATGCACTGCAGCACACTAAAAGATTTTTTGCCTATTCACACATTTGCACACACACAAGTCGCTCTGCAACAAAATTTAGTGCCATCATTAATGTGCAACAAAACCATAGTGGTTAAGAGTTGAATATTATGAGAGTACTCTGAATTCTCTATATCTGAATAAAGAAAATGGTTTTTAAAATCCCCTTGAGTGAAACCTTGCAGTTATTCTGAAGGTCTTTGCTATTGGTTCTAGTTTAAAAAGTCTAACTCTGGCAAGAGATGAAATGAGAAAGAATTAAAATGGATGAATTTTTTCTTAACATTTTCATCACAGCACAGGGATCAAATCACAGGCCATGTCCTTCATGTGTGCAGTGAGTGAGACAATAGATAAGAAAAGTCTCCTGATGGTGTGAGAGAAACAAAGTTCATGTAGACGTTTATACTTTCATTGACACTACTATGCAGGAGATAGGCACAACAACAGGAACATCTGCACTGTACACAGCAATCCTTTACAATACTATCGAGCGCTACCTTTCACACTGTTTTTATTTATTGATGAACTATTGTATCATGTTACATGATACTGTACAGATCACGTTATTATGTCAGCATCCTGTACATATTGTATATGATTACACAATCCCAGCATAAAGTCTCTCATGCATTTTCAAGAAGAAGGAGAACAATCATGAACCCTTGCTCCACATGGTGTCTGGAACTTTATTTTAAATACACATTTGAAAACATGAAAAGTCATATGCACAGTGTAAGAAGCTTACTGTGATGGTGGATTTGCCAGCGTATTTCCCATACTTCAGCAACAAAGGCTTCACCATCCTCTTTTGGGCCACAATCTGCAAAAATCATGTTAAACACAATGTTGGATTAGAGCCCTAAGGAGTCGTATACAGGGTCTACATTATCAACACTAGCCATAAGTATCCATCACTGAGCCACTCTATAGAGCAAATATACAGCACTGTGTATTTATTACTAACATCACAAATAAAGGAAGTTGTTCCTGCATGTTTACAGCAGAAATGTATTTTTAGGGCACAAAACTAACACAACTATAGTTCAGCCTACAATACATGAGTGGATTTGGGAATACACAGTGCCTTAGAAAGACAGTAGTATGTGCCTACCTGACCAAGAGTGCACTCCACCCCACCCAGGAAGTCATCGTCACGGGTCCCAATGCTGTGAGTGCCGTGGATGTCGTAGACCTCAAACCGCAGTTTCTGAACTTCCTCAAAGTAGTAGTCTAATGTGAAAACCTTGGCAAAGACTGGGTGCAAGTTGCTCTTGATCACTTCTGTCCTGTCCAGCTAAATGAAAACACAATCCTCACATTTATTCATCTAATATATTTAAACATTCTAATATTTCTTATTATAATAACAATGTGTAACTGAAGCAATAATAGACCTTAGGGAAATTGTCTCTTTGACAAAGTGATAACCCTTGTACAGATACTATATCAGTAAGATCTCTGAAAATAGGATTGAAAAATAGCACTTGCAACATATATGTCTGTCTATTTAAAGTATTTTGAAGAACACAGAACAAATGCTTTTATACTGGATGATACAGGATGATATGAGAGAAGACTGGAGGGCTCTGACATTTAATCTCAGCATACTCTTCAGAAACGTCCATGCTCATCTTTGACTGTCTGACAAGGAAAAACTGAGCTCTCTGAGGCCCCATCTACTCAAGATGTAGGATTTAGTTCTCACACAGCTTCATGAATACATCCAATTTGTCACAAGGACAAATCATCTTTGAGGAGGATATTTACGTGCATTTACAGAGCTTCATATCATTAAATAGACAAACTCAGGCAGCAAAAAAATCCAGATTCTCACAGTTTTTATGGTACTGTACTTATGTTGACATTTAACGCGTATTTGGGTCTTAAATCTCAATCCACCACAAAATTAAACTGCCCCAACAAAAGGCATAATCTGGAGCTGGTCTGTTGCCAGTAAATGAGACTCAAAAGGTTTCAAGTGGTCATCCAAAACACAGCCACACACTTGAATACAATTTTGTCTGTCACAGTGTCAAGAGTCATTTCTTCATTGTCAGTGGAGCAGATCCAGATTTTATGTCGTGATAGCTTTAGAAACTGGTGACTATGCTCCCTAATTTCTCCCTTCAGAAGAGATACAATCTTGATCAGATAAAAACTGAACTAGACTTCATGATTTTAGGAATAACAATATTTCAAATAAAACTATGATAGAACAAAAATATTACCATTCTACAATACAGCTGAGAGACAATTTAAAAAATGATGTTTTACCACAAGCTTCACTGCTCCTTGTCATATGTTTTTATCTAGAACTTTACTGGAGGGATGAACACCATGCTTCTAAAAGATGTCCCATCATGTGGTGCTTAGAGGATGCAGGTGGAGAGAGCAGTGTAACATCCATCCATTATCTATACAACTTATTCCTAAATAGGGTCGCGGGGGGACTGGGGCCGATCCCAGTTGATAATGGGCGAGAGGCAGGGTACAGCCTGGACAGATCGTCCGTCTGTCACGAGGCTGACATGTAGGCAAACAGGCACACACACTCACACTCACTAGAGTTGCCAGTCAACCTAAGCTGCATGTCTTTGGACTGTGGGAGGAAGCCGGAATACCCGGAGAGAATATGTAAATGGGGCTCAAACCCGGAACCTTCTTGCTGTGAGGCGACAGCGTTAACCACTGCTTGCTGTGCCGCCCCAGTGTAACAATATCACTCAAAAAATCTCATGAGAGCATCAGAGATCTTCTAAGTTAGTTAGGAGTCACCAGCAGCTACACACTGAACACATATGTTGGAAATACATAAGATGACAAAAGGGTCCAAGACCTGGCTAATACCCACAGTCTGGAAGAGTTTAAAATACTAGACCCAAGTGCAGAAACCAGACAGAAAGCTCAGATAGCGTTCCTTCAGGTGTACTACAGTTTGTCAGAAACAGGACAAAACTCCGGTAAGTACATAACATCCAAAACAAAAGACTGGAATCCAGATTTTATTTTAGTATTTGTTCATATTTTGTTTGCAATGTGACAAAATTCTATTCTATTGTCCACTGTCTGGTGTGTAGTTGAATGACACATGTCTGTATCTATCAATCAAATGAAGGTCTCCTAAAAAAACACTTAAAGGTAAGCCAAACTCTTTGTAACAAAGGGCAGGAAACATTCACACATGGCTTGAAACATTAACCTTAGCAAGAAAACTTGACAAAGGGGAAAAAGGAAAAAACATGACTGTACTTTGTTGTAGAGGTCACAGCACAGAAACAGCTGGAACAACGAGAAGGAAAATCAAAGGGTATAAAAGCAAGAAGGCTGATGAGCAGATGGGGCACAGGTGTGTGGCAGACAGCAGTGGCGGGAAGGCAGACAAAGGGAAGGTGGGGTGGATCTAAAGTAAAGAGGCAGGGTGTAAGGTGAGCAGACAGGAAGTGTGACAACAAAATAACAGTATGAAACAGGAAGAGATAACACAAATACACAACAAAATGTTCATGACATAACGGAGTCATTATACAGTAAATAAGATCAAATCATGTTAGTTCTTCTTGATGTGGTAACGATGAGTTCAAAAGATGATGAACAGTAAAATAAAGAAATTACAAAAAACATTTTTCAAGGAAATGCTTCATTTTCAATTGATGTCTGTGTTCTTGGTTATGGAAAAACAGAAACAAATGTGCATTTAATTAGCATTTAAACACTACACAAGACCTAATAAGATGGATGCTATTTATTAAAATGGTTAATTTATTCTTCTTGAACCCATTAAAGATTTTTATGAATAATATCCCAAGCATATTGGTATTGTCAGCACAAGCTAGCGGGGTAGTATCTTATATGTAGGACACAAATAATGATGGATTGTCTTAATCATGGCATGAACGTGCTGATGTGGCCATAACACAGCGGTTTTGGGGACAGCTACGGGCTGATTTAGTGTTTGAGGGCATCGGGCATAACTGTACTTCTCAACACTTCAGGTAGCACTGAAGTCATGTTAGGAGTTTGCCAAAGTTACTCTTACTTTTTTATACAAAGCTGCAAAAGCCCTACTTTTTCCTGTCAAAATCGAACTCATAAGTCACATTTATGACCATTATGTGTCCCATTTCTTACACATTATATAAATACCAACCCTAGTGACTCTGTCAGCCATAAAACATGACTGATATCATTTTCATACTCATCAAACCATTCAGTGACCCCTCGCACCCCTCAGATTAGACCATTATTATCCTAGAAAAGAACACTCCAATCATGATGAAAATGGCCATTTCAGAACAGAAATGGATGATGGTGATGAATCAGAATAACATATTTGCAGTGACCCTGGTCACAGGTGGATCAAATCCACATCAGAAAAATGCCTCCCACTAATATAAGGACACATTTCTCCTTTCATTTATTTAGTTTTTCCTTTATTTGTACATAACCCATTTTTAATTGGAATTGTAAAACCTTAAATGGAAATTTCACTAATAGTTTACTGAAGTTCTTTGCTTTTTATTCTTGTTTCACGTGGTTGCTAGTTTGCGTGCTGAAGAAGATTGTCAGTTTGAAACATCCATGTGTGACTAATTGATTTAATTGGAGCATTCTCTGATTCCTGCAACCTTTTACACACATTGAGACTAAAAGTGTTGTGCTAAAAGTGCATTTCAAATTCTTGCTCATTAATAATAAACAAACCTTCGTTGTTTAATACCTTTTGTTGACTTTTGTCCTGCTTGAACTGAAAATAAACTTTGGTCTTTGATGGCTCTTTGTGAATATTCTCACTGGTTCTCTAGCTAATGACAATAATAATAATACAATAACAAATACAATAGATAAGTAGTAGGGTTTGCTCTACTGTTTCCATTTTACCCTGGCAATGAATGATGGGTTGTCGTAATCATACCAACTTGAGCTTGACTTCCTCAACCTCATTCACCCCCATTTCTCTTTATCATGTTTTCTTGCCATCACCTCCTCTCTTTGTGCCATCTGGATGGACAGATTTGGGATGAGTCCGTTTGCTGATGAAAGCTAATCACAGCTAAGGAGGATATGTTTTGGTGAAGTCTGTGATGCCTGTTTGTTGTTGATGTGGGGCCAGAGCTATAGAGAGATCCCTGGCATGGGAAATTAAAGCTTTCTCTAATCAGTTCCGCCAGGTAGGTGGACCATATTCTATGTAGTTAGATCATAACAAGCCCCTGTAGCTTAGGTTAGAAGTCACAGAAAAGCTAGGTTTGGAGTTAACTCGTTATCACGCTGGTGTGTAGAATCCAGTTTAAACAAAAAGAAGAGTGAAACCTGCTTTTGAAGTAAAGGTCAAGTCAGTTTCATCATGCTACTGCATTTGTTCTTGGGAGTGAACAGGTGGTGAACTAAGTTGATATTAAAATGAATGCAGTTCAACAAATAGCACTTGCAAGTCAGTGGGGCTGAACAGAACAAGGAAAAAGAATGATACGGTGGTGAGTGGGCTCTGCTTCTTACTCAGCTGTTGACGCAAGTAAACACTCTGCACAAGGAATGGTGCCTCCCAGTTGAGGGAGTTGACAGCAGAGGATTAGACAACTTGCGTACACTGTCATGACTGCAAAGAGTCAGAGGAAAGAAAAGACAATAGATAGATAGATAGATAGATAGATAGATAGATAGATAGATAGATAGATAGATAGATAGATACTTTACTCAAGTAAAATACAAATATCTCAAAATTGTACTTAAATGCAGTGTTTGAATCAGCAGAAAGGTGCTTATCCACTGCCCACTGTGATAGTGAGCATCACTGATAAATGTTCCCGTGTTGCATTGTTACAGGTAGTTATAATCTCCTATTTCTCTGAAATGAGAGTTTTTGTTTGATAAATGGTTTCAGGGAAAGAAAATCTAGATAATTAGATATCCTCAGCCACGTTTAGCACATCCTCTGTTTAATGGAGACCTGTGTTTTGGCTTTGAACTAAATGAACTGAATTACTTAATTAACAAGGAAATGAGAGACCTGCAGCCTACACTCCCATTCAGCATGGGACCAATCCAAAGTAAGTAAACATTTTCAGAGGAAACACAGCTCATCATGCTTCAACCTACTGTTTGTCCATGTAGACCTGAGAATTATACTTACTAATGTAGGATGTGAATCCTGCAGGACAATGCAATCTGTTATAAATTATTTGACTGTGGAGACAGATAATGTTTGCTTTTCCCCTGCACATATACACTACATCTGACATTTGTAATTCTGAATCAGACAGCTGTTGGGTATGACATGATCTTTTCCAAAAGAGTGGGAAAACAGCTGCAAGTTCACCAGACCATTAAAGGATTTATCTCCCTGGTTGATCGTGTATGACGACATGGCTTTGGGGATAACTGGAGTGAGATAGAAAACTCATTCTAATGTATAGTATTTCACACATCACTGCTGTTTAATCTTAAAATCTCAGCCTTCCTAAATTTGCGATTCTGGGTGAGGATGGTGGGCTGAGCAACTATCCCCTGTGTCTCTGTAGAACAGTTCTCAATAACCATTAAGAAAACATGTTGCTCAGCCCAAGGCGCTGTAATTTTAATAATCTAAATTCTTATTCAGTGTGAGTTAGGGCACAATTCTCTACATATTAAAAATGCAGTTAAATAAAAGAAGCTGAATTGATTTTTTTTAAGTTACATCCTGCTGTCTGTAGAATTGCTGAATGAGGAGATAGCAACCTCACGCTCTTGCTCTCAAGGGGTTCAACTGTGTATTTGTCACACCAGAGATTAAAAAAGAGGGCTCACCTCTGTCCACTGTCCATTGGTCTGTACCATCAGTATGACACAGGGGTCTGACTTATTCAGCGTGTCTCGGTCCAGCAGAGCTTTGCAAGACACGCGCAGCTCTACTTTGGTGACGCAAGTAGCTGGACCACTGAGGCTAGTCGCTGGAGAGGTGGCCTCCTGAATGTCATTCATCCTGGCTCAGGGCAAGAGGAGCTGCCAACCAGCAAAGCAGTGCGGTGTGAGGCTGTCGGTGTAGCTCCAAGGGATGGAAAAATGCAGTTGTCGGTGGAGGGATCTCAGTAAAGATGTGGCAGGATCACAGGACACAGGCTCTTTTGACTTGGTAAAGATGTCACAAAAAGAATAAAGATTCCTGTTGAGTCTCAGAGGACAAAAACAAACCCATCCTCTTATTTCTGCCAGTCAAAACTATTATTCCCTTGTAAGGAATGTCATCTTACCTCAGTAATGATGAGAGACAGGACATTTGTGCTTTTAGGAGTCTAGATCAGATCCCTGGAAAGATTTATTTAAGATGGCCAGATTTGGTGCTTCCTTATTTTAAACACTCTTAATACCTATATGACAAAGAAGGAGGGTCTCACTACTCTCCACAAAAGTATAACCTATACAAAAACACAGAACAGACACAGTCATTCCTTTCAGTTTTTACAAACATGATGCGCTAGCAAATAGGATGAATGGGAAAACAATAATTTAAAGAAAAATTTCACTTATCTAACAATGAGCAAACAAGTGAAAATGACACGAATGATATAATCAGGAATCTAAAAGATACATGGACGTGTGTCTTTATTGCCCAGAGGATAACACTGAGGACTTTGATTTGTTTATGCACCAATGTGGTAAGCATCCGCCCAGCTGAAGTGTCCTTGAGCAGGAGAGTTTCTGACCCCGCTTATCTGGTTTTAAATGGGGAACGTATGAGGCCGGTGGCTGAATTTCTCTAACAGCATTATTTAGTCAAAGTTTCACATTATTAGGAAGCGAATGAACAAGTGTGCGTTTGGCTTCCAGCACCAGGGACAGCGCCCAAGGTTTTGTTTGCCAGCTGTGGAGGCTGCAAACCAGATGTTACCCAAAAGCATTAATGTCAAACTCAACTCAGGACAGCTCGAAATACAAGCAGTACCATCAGCTATAAATCTCATAAAGCAAAAACTTCTAACCTAAGAATGGATCGGAAAACCAACACGTCCACTGAAGAGCGAAAAGCAGCCGATTCGATCTAACAACTTCATGAGGGCGATACAAGAAACGCTCCTAAACGGTTAGTTAATCATTCTGCACATCTGTAATCCTTGAAAACCCAACACCGATTAACGTTCAGTGGCACGATGACTAGCTGTCTTGGGTTTTCATTGTTACAATAGGCGATACTAAAGGCGAACGGTCTACTTTGATAATATCGTTTGTCACTGTCCGCTTTTACTCACTTCATGCAAGACAATCTGCAGCTAATCCCCCCCAAAAAACAAGCAACCGCTCCTAATCCCCTTTTCAGAAACATCCAACTCCGCTGACAGGCAAGTTGAACAAAGTAGAATTAGAAACTCACTTCCTACCTGTAGTTGCTGTCTACTCTTAAATACACCTGTTTAATCCGCTCCCGTCACACTCTCCTTCATTTTTTGCTATGGTGAAACTCATTGGTTAGGCTGCTGAGGAGGGAGTAGGCTCGGCTTGTAGACACGGGGAGTGGAGAGTCCAGCTGCAGATGCTGATGGGCTTTTCGCTGGGACTCGATTATTTCGACTTCAATTCACTTCCGAGCCTATAAACCAGGAAATGAGACCGCAGCTTACATCATAGGAGCTTTTAGTAAAGACTGGGGTTGACAGTTCACACAAAGCACAAAATCCGAGATAAATGCTAAGGCTAGCTGTGTGCCATTTACTGTCATAATAAATACAACTGTGACTCATTAATAAACCGACAAGGCTCAACAGTTGGCTTTTAAATATAGATTTATACTGATATATCCCTCCATCTTCAGCATACTTTGATTAATGTATCATACTGCTTATGCCTTAATGTTCTACTATATGCGTTATAGTCCTGCTATGCGTCATTTATTAAAATGACCGAGGACAGGTGCGAGACATTTCACGGCAAAACAACAGGAACTCAAAAGGACGGATCTTGGGGCTCCAGAGAGCTGAGGACCAGTGCTCATGTGTTTCCATCACTTTGATTTACATTCATTTTCTGGAGACCGTCCCTAACCTTAACCATAACCACTACCGGCATCACACCCCAAGCTTAAACCAAGTCATCATTCTAAAATTCAGTGATTTACATTTAGGGGACATGCTTTTTGTCCCCATAGGGACGTCATGTCCCCAGTGTGACCGTGTAAACAGAATCACATCCCCACAACATGAGTAATACCGAGTCACACAAACACATACACACACCTGCACATACTTTAACCAAGCCTGTCACTCACATTAACACGATCATGAACTGATTCACAATGTCGCTTGTGAATGATTTGACAGTGATGTACATGTATGTTACATAATGTATTGTTTCTGAACAGCGCTGATGCTTGAATCTTTTCAGGCCACCCACAAAAGTATTATTGTCATGAATGTATTTCCAGACATTGCATAACTTTTATAGATTACAGTGAGAACACAGCAGCTCTCAAGTTTCTGCAGAACAGAACCGAAGGGCATAAAAGACAATGCAGCAAAAAATAAATCATTAAACTATCTGGGAAATTTGGATTAATCAAGCTAAAGTTTAAAAGAGAAAATAAAAGCTTAGTTTTGACTGTTTTTAACCACCTTGTGTGTTTGGCAGTTGTTTACACAGTGCACTTTATGATAATAAAATGTGTAGGCTTCAGCTGTTATAACATTGTGTTCCTAAAAGTTTTGAAATTCTGAAGTGTCCTTGAACATTTATTTTCATTAGACCTTTGCAGCACTGAAACTTTGTCTTTGATTCCAAGATGAAGTGACTGATTTTTTAAGGGTTGAGCCACTCAGAAGCTTTCAGATAGTAAAATGACATTTGCGACAGATGGAAAGGTCAATCAGATTATAGCAACAGCATGAAAAATAAAAATATTTGGCTGCTTTCTTTTTAATTATCTGCTCTGTTGAGCTGATTGTTTACACACAACACATGAATACCACGCTAATTCCCTTTATAGATTGATATTAAAAGTGAAATTAGTTTGATAAAAAGTAACAAATCTGTGCCTGGTTTTGTGCACATGGCGCTTAGCACGGAAACATGCTGCTTACTGACATGACCATCAACTGAAGTCTGTTGTCTCCTGCAGTTTTCACACCCAACTGCCTCCTCTTCCAGGGGTATTCAGTGTCAGTGGGAAGCGTCTGCTTTGGGGCACACACCTGAGCCCTGTTATGCCAACGCTCCAAACAACAGCCATCTGCTGCTGCGTCAGTTCAACACATCACCTTGGTGCTGCTGACCACAACAATATGAATAAAACAATAATATTGCATGTACAAAAAGCCAAACAGGGAGATCTCTTAGCATGGCATGATGCACTCACATTTTCAGTTAAACTAGCTCCGGTGTGTTTGTGTAACACCCATCTCTAGTTTTCCACCAGCCGCTCCTTCGACCAGATGTATTTCTGTGGAAAGGTAGGTTTTTGGAATTTCACAGACACTATTGCTTCTACAGTCTTTTTGTTTGGGGATGGTAACTGTAGCACCCCTGTTAATGGGAATTAAGCACTGAGCTTGAGTTTCAACAGGCTCTACTTCAAGTAACAGCTTATTGAACAGAAATTATATCTTCAGGAGTCTTCTTTAAAATCAGCATACTTGCTTGACTTCAAATACTGTGGTCAAAAAGACATCACTTCCCTTTCACAGAGTAAACATGATCCACTCACCAGACTCAGGCTGACATTGCAGAATATGGGCATGTCCGCAACAACATTGATTTCAGTTGGATTGGAGAATAATAACAGACAAAATTCACATCATTGGTAAATATATTTAACATTGGAGCATCCACATTTGACTAAAAGATTCTGTACTTAGTTACCTGAGGACAAGGTTGTTGGGTTTAAATGCTGGTAACACAACTGACACAAAGGTGTTTGAGGTTAACGTTCTTAAAATCCTGTTACTCTTTTGTTTTAAAGATTATTTTGCCATACTCTAACTCAAAAATAAACAGGACTGTCCATTGGAGTCCCAGCTATATCAGTCTCCCCTGGTCCAAATGGAGTTGAGTGTCCACTGGATTAGCTGAATTATGTATTTGCATTCAGGTGGGACACTGAGACACTAAAGTAGACAGAAAAGGATATTTAGTCTCATCCCAACCAGCCTTTATGTTCACATGCTTGAACTTGGATCATTTTTAATATTTAGACAGCAAAACGTATCTGTATATGTAATCTCACTGATTATGGACTTTTTATTTATTCTTTTGACCTTATCAGAAAACCACAGTGCATCTTAACACTTGTGCAGGATCTCCCGTTGTCAGCAATATTTCATATTAGCTTTCTGTTCGGGTTCATGTCTATCAGCAGGTAACCTTCCCTATGTAAATTAAAATTCAGCTTTGACCTACTGTTTTCTTTCTTTAGTTTCCACCTCCCCTGGCCTCTGTCTGCAGCAAGTGCAGTCACTGAGAGGCTCTATCAGATTTAGACTGGTTAAAAATTTATTTCTGGTGAATGGACCAACTTAAAAAACAAAACACACGTTAACTAGAACTGACATGTATCAGTTTGTCATCTGACATAATTAACTACGCACTATTTAATTGCATACCAATTAAACTGTCATGTCAGGTTAATAACCGCCTGTTAAAAATCGACAATTCATCTCAACTACTGGCTCCATGCTGCTGGGTCTTCACTAACACGCTACATTTTGTGCCTCTACTGCCACCTACTGGTGTAAATGAGCCTAATAAAGACCCTGAATTCAATTTAAAGTGCAAGTTCACTGCTGATACAACTGGACTGCATTACAAATAGGTCAAATCGATGTTCCTAATTGTGTTATCTCCACCAGTTTCACTCCACAGCTGTCCAGGGGTCAGAAATCTTTTAAGAGGTACTTAAAGCTCTGTAAAACAAGATTTAATTAGGGGGTATATGGACCTTTTCTGACAGAAGGCATTCCGACATAGAACAGAAGGAAAAGTGTGAATAATAAAGTTGAGATGAATTCAGTGTCACTGATTCTCTTATAGTGGTGCTGGTATTGTGCAGACTGCTTCACTGTCGCAGCTTACAGTGGGCGTCTGAAGAGGACTGAGCCAGTGTTAATGTCAAAAACATGCATGCCTTTTCTGTCAAGTCAGAAACACTATGGGAAGGCCTGCATGCATTTGCTGCCTTAGATAAGATTTATCTTACCTCAATGTTTTGTTTTTGTGCCCTGGTTTAGAATAGTTGCTCATTCCAGCTGTATTGTTGTTTGACATGATAAACTATTGCTTATCATCCACTATTTTAGTCCATCATGGCCCCTAATCTACACCTAGACCATGAAAACCTGGACCTGTCAATCCAAACAAGATCTTAATCATGACATTCTCATATCGATCTTTTAAACACTTTATTTTGCAAAGTTCCATAGTAACTGTTTTCACTTCTTCTTTTCCACGTCCTGCTCGGCAGCCTCTTTGGCTCTCTTGGCACGAATGCCGAAAAGACGAGCATTGGCGCGAGCCATGCGCAGACTGGCGAAGGCCTTGAAGTTCTTCTCATCCTCAGAGATAACCCTGGCCTTCTCCTTCTTGTGCACCTGACGAGCCAAAAAAAAAAGAGAAACTTTTGCGACCTTTTCCCCACATATTTATCTCTTTTTCAAATGTCAACATCCAGCCAGTTAAGACACACAAATACTGAGATCCAATTTTGGGATGCTGCTATTTAGCACCCACCAATTTGGATTTCTAGCTTGTTTTTTAAAAAGCAGTCATCAGAAAAAGGGTTCAAATGTTTCATCAAGCAAATACAGAGATTCCGGAGATTTGTCATCATCTGACTGCTGAGATGCAAAAGGAACAGTTTATTCTTGTATTTCTCAAAAGTCAAAGATGAGATGATGGTGCAGAAAAAAAAAAAACTTCTTTTCATAAAAACATGTTTCATGTTTATTTCCAATCATCTCACTTTGATTTACTCTAAATATTTCAGGAAATTGCTACTTACGGTTTTGATGGGCATGACTGGACCAGTGAGCTGAGTAGCCATCTTCAGCTCCTCCTCCTGAAAATATTACACAGTTAATTCCTCAAGGAAATGACAAAAATAATTTAAAAAAAAGCATTTGTATTGTCCAGTAATGCTGATAAACTTCTGGCTATCACTGACATTTGGGCAGGGAGAAAGGACTCAAATCAAAGGCCAGGCCAGAAAATGGGGCAGATGAAGGTTTCTGGTTTACATCTTCTCATTCAGTCATAGCAATCAATTTGTAAATTGATCAGAGTGATACTGATAAAAGTACTGAATCTTGATCAGTCAACTGTCGAGTTTACAGACAAACATTTTCAAAGTATTTGTTTGGTGACAGGTGCACAGTGAGCAGTGTTTGGGTGTCAGCCCACACTGTTGTTCTGTCTGGCTGAATTGTGCAAGTTTTTATATAACATTACAGGTCCTCAGTGATGTCTTCTTTATCATCTGATTATTCTCACACACAAAAAAGCACTCAAAATCCAGATTATGACTGAAGTTGTATGGCCGCCAGACAATGGTTCAGCTCAATAAACTGTCAGTAATACAAACAGTAATTGTATTGCATTCACATTCAAACACAAAGAAAAGCATGATAAAGTTTGTGACGAAATCTAAGCTTTTATACAATACTTAGAGTTACAATAAACTGCATCACCGCTTTTGTATTCTTGTTCATAAAAAGTAAAACATTAAAGAGAAAGCCCCTGGCTTGAAATCCAGAAACAAGAACGGATAACACTGTCATCCCTTATGTGGCCTGTTTATCAGGGAAGTTAAAAAGGATCTTTCGCAACCACAATATCCCAGTCAACTTTAAACCAGGGAACACCCTGCGGCAAAGACTGGTCCACCTGAAGAACAAAACACCCAGACATAAACAGAATGATGTGGTGTATGCAATTAAGTGTAGTCAGGAGTGTAACGACTTGTACATTGGTGAAACTAAGCAGCTGTTGCACAACGCATGGCCCAACACAGGAGGGCCAACCGCAGTGGACCAGAATCAGCAGTCCACCTCCACCTGAAGGACAAAGGACATTCTTTCGAGGCCAGTGAAGTCCAGATCCTCTCCAGAGAACATCGCTGGTTTGAGAGAGGAGTCAAGGAAGCTATTTTTGTTCAAATAGAACACCACTCACTAAATAGGGGTGGTGGACTAAGACACAACTTGTCTTCCATCTACAACCCTGTTTTGAGATCTCTGCCCAAACATGCCCAACAGGACAACAGGCATCGATCCACAGGTGAGGGTTCAAAGACAGGTAACAATGCTCACCGATACTAGGCTATAACGACTAAGTTGTTAGGGGACACTGTTGGGCATCAAAGGACTGAAAACACCACCGATGGGGATAAATATCTCCGGCTCAACACCAGTCAGTCAGAACTGATGAAGCCTCTTGGATGAGAGGTGAAATGTCTTCGACCTAAAAACCTAGTCCAGTTGATTTTTCTACGTTTTTTCATAAAATACTTAAATAACATTACTTTCGTCTATCACATGCTTTACACATTTATTCAGATTGTGCACTAAGTTTATGTGAGAACATGAAAGATGTACTTACAGTGCTGTCTCCCTTCTTGGGGGCAGAAGCCTTCCTGGGGAAAAGGATGAGCTTGGAGCGGTACTCCTTCAGGCGCTGCACGTTAGCCTGAAGAGATTCTGTGGATCTGTTGCGACGGCGGGGGTCAACAGAGATGCCAATGGTGCGGGCTGTCTTTCTGTGGATTCCAGCCGCCTGCAAAGAGAAGCACAGTTTGAGTTAAACACAGAAGTTTCTGATTTAATGCAATCTCAACCACATTATACAAGCCTGATTTATTTAATTTGTGACATTCCATTTGGTTTTCCATTTGAAGAAACAAAAAGCTGTAATAAGAAAGAAGGTTCATCAAACAAATACAGGGACTCTGCAGATTTGTCATCATCTGACAGCAGCAACACTAAACAAGATGCTGCTTATGTTTCTGAACATGACTGCCAACAGGGCTCTCACTGCAAATAAGTTTCTACTCCAACATAATAATCGACAATCATTTGATTTGCTGCTATTTTTCCCTTTGGTGTCCATGTGTATTTTGATTACTGAGGGGTTCAATTCACTAAGAGGCCCTTTTCAAACACTGCCTACTTTGTACACACGCACAAAAATGCTGCCGATTGCTGTTTAATAACTCCTTCATATAAAACAAATCTAGTTACAGACAAATGTAAAGTATTACCTTGAGTTCCTCCAGGGTGAAGCCACGTCCGGCACGAACCTTGGTGTGATACCTGATAGTGGGACACCTGACCTGTGGCCTCAGTGGTCCAGAGACAGGACGGGGAGCAAGGCGACGTGCCTTGGCCTGGCGAGCCTTTCGTCTGAGGAAAGAAGTATTTTTGTCAACCTAGGGTTAGCAAAGCCCCTTTTCAGTCCTAGGAACTAAAAAAAACTCAGCAAATAAAATACGGTAAAAGTCTGTATTGTCTATTCCTATTTTGGTTTCCACTGCTTCTCATGACAATATGGCAAACAGACAGAATTAGGGGGAAAACTACTTTGAGACAAAAATACGCAAGAATTGTGATTTTTCTCTGTAGTTCAGTAGAACATGACTGATGTTTGAACAGATGGATGCAAGCAAGATGAAAGAAACTAAAAAGACAAGTCTCCAGTGCTGCCAGATCTGTTGACTGGTTTGCTGCAATTTATACATTTGCAACATTTAGTAAATTATAGCACTATCTCTCCCTCATTCACTATTCCCTTCTCACTTTAGTTGAGGAACTGACTACATAACCTGCCTACCATCAAACATACTGTTATGTTCTGTGCAATGGCCCTGTGGTGGGGAAAAGGCTGCACTGCAAATTAAGTAACGTTTGTGTTACATGTTAATCCTGGGCTTGTCCAATCAAAATCATGTCTGTTTACACCCATCCCTCCCTTAAAATAACAAAGGAGCCCTCATCCCCACAAAAAACGCACATGCAGGCACATCAATGTAGGTCACCAATGACAGGCTTCGGTCTGTTTAATAGTACAAAAACATTACATCTCATTTAATTCCTTGCAGCCTATTACAGTTCATTCCAGTGCATGGCGTTTCAGACATACAAGTCAACAGAAAAGCTGTGGCTGTGCTCAAGTTATAGAGATCCTCTTAATGGCATCTTGCATTTATTAACAATGGTTCTAAATACACAGCCAACAAAGTTTATCTCTGACACTCGTCTATGAAGCAACCAGAGGGTAGCGTTAGCTACGTTAACGTAAGTTAGCATCTCTCCCTGGAGTACCAGGCAGTTCTCACCTGCGGATCTTCCTGGCTGGCTGGTTGAACCATGTGCGCACTCGTTTCTGCCAGTCTTTGTGAAAGTGAGGGTTCAAAATCATTCCATTTCGGCTGGGGGCCATGGCTGCCTACTTCCCTGCAACACAGCATGGAACACGGAGTGAGCTGATCGTCATGCCGGGCATACCATCAGCCCCCACAAGGGTGATATGCTAACAGGTTAACCAGGCTGCTATCTATTTTGTCGGGAAACTCGCGTTAGCATACTCTGTATGCCATAACTACTAGCCTTTGCCATTTCGACATTCATTAGGTATATTTCTTTTCAGAGACATTATTAAAATATGGAGCTAGAAAAGTTGGCCGTTATCGGTAATGCTAAGTCACACACAAACACTATCTGACCGGGTATCACTATTAAAACAGATGCTATTCAGCAATTCAACGAGGAAATCCGTAACAATAATCATCTCATTTCAAATGTGTTAAAGCACACTACACCTGGGTATAAGTTAAACTAAGAAACCCTTACAAAATAACAAGGATTAAAGCAGATTATTTTGAAGTTTGTGAAGAATAATTTCCCATACCTACTAGGGAGGAAAATGGCCGAAAGGAAAAAGGAAGTAGCAAAACGGTGGATTGTGAGAAATGGGACAATAAGCCAATGGTCGAAGAGATTCTTCTTCTTCTTCTCGGAGATTTTATGGCATTTGACATCCTTAATGTTGCATTACTGCCACCTACTGTCGACCGAACAGATGCGGTATCAAGAGCATTTAAAAGAGCATTTGCCTCTCTACAAGGAATTGATAAAAAGTTAAATAAGGTAGAAATGTTTTATATTATCACATTATTCAGGGTAATAACAATTAATTAAAATCATAAAAATAACAATTTAATAACTTTAGCTTTCATCAACTTGTTGAACAATGCACTACATGTGGCTGGGTTGTGGGTCAGATGTTTAGACTGTCCACATACAATAAGAACAAGCCACACTAGTCTCCTCAAATAAGAATTAATTATTCTTTTTCTAATTGCAACTCTGCCTAATCACATGTGAATACATTTAAGAAACATGTAAGTGTGCACTTTTCCTGTGTCCTATCTGAACTTGTTTTTCTCTGTGCCCAGTCTCTGTTAACACAATGAAAGGACCAGAAAGACAAATGATTATATGACTAGATGAAATTTTATTGCTTTCACAAAATACGTATTACAGAGTCATTAACTGTGCCATGGATGTAACAAAGTATAAAGGATGTCAACAGCTTCTGCTCTTTGATTTCTTGAGATTACTGGTGCATAAATGAATTAGGACATGATCTATTTTTACACCGAATTTTAACTACTTCTCTTTCTGAAGTCCATCAAGATACAGTATAGCTGTAACTTTATAAAGCCGAACCAGAAACTAACAGGAGCTTGAGTCCCATCCATTTGATAAATTTACAATAGCTTTTATTATACAAATGATTTAATAGGGAATACTGTGTAGTAGCATGAAATTGATGTTTTAGCCAGAAACATTATTCAAACTTATTTCCTGTTATCAGCCTGAGATTGTTTTTTAGTCACTGATTTTAAAACCACTTCTTCATTAATCATTGATCAACTAGCTTCTGCAGTCTCTGCCTATCTGCATCTCAGAGCAAAGGTGAAGGTGTGTTGAACAAAAGGCAAAAATCAGCAGCTTGCTGTGTCAGCAAATTTACAGCAACATGATATGAACATCCACTAGCACATCAACTGAGCATGAGCCTTTTTAACTAGCTGTAAAGTTGCTGTTATTGTTACTTGAATGAATCTTAACAACATGATGCATTCTTACGTTTGCTGTAGCTGCCAAGAATGTTACTTTAAGTTTAAAGCTGTTAGTGAATTCACAAAAAAGCAAAAGTTTGGATTTTTGAAAAATGACAGGTGTCTTTTCACACGTCATGACCACATTTTATTAATAAATGTGACACAGCACTTAAAATCATTTTACTATCTTTACCACCTGTGTGCACATTTAGCAAAGCACCAGAAAAAAGATCCAACAATACTGACAGACTGTCATATTATAAGAGCCCTTTAGGTTTGCTAGTGGCAAAAACAACTCCTAACTTTGTGTGGAGGCTGTTATTGGGTATTTAAAATGACTTAGCACAGTTCCAGTATTGAAATAAATACCACAAATGAAGAAGAGTGTTGCATATGACTTTACTAATCCTGTATACTTATCTTTGATTGAAGTTGCATTACAAAACAGCAGTTAGCTTAATGATTTATTCTTCAAGTGACCTAATAAATTTATCGTACGCTGCTTGATCCATGAGACTATCGAGTTCTTCAGGCTTTTCAATTGTCATCTTGATTATCCACCCTGAAAGGTAAAAAAAAAAAAATAATAATCATACAATCTCAAGCTGTTAAAGGTATTCTGTTTTGACAACTTATTATCTACACTGGCAACACATCTCCTGGGAGAAATGACTATGACAAATGTACTGGAAAAGAACAACTGCAAGATGTTTACCCTCTGCATAGCAGGCTTTATTCACAAGTCCAGGATTCTCTGTCAGTTCTGTGTTGATTTCAGTCACTTCTCCTGTGAGTGGTGAATACAGCTCACTGGCAGCCTTTACACTTTCCAAAGCACCAAACTCCTCTACAACAGGTACACAGACGACATGAGAGATACAGTTGTATGCAAACGTTTCTATTGTTTAGGTTCATTAACAAAATAAGTGCATTAGCATTTAAATACAGGCAAAATTTAATACTATTTATTTCTATGTGCTGAAAAATAAACCAACAAGATAGAGACAGGTGACAAACAAAGAGAAAAACCAACATAAAGTGTCTCAGTAGGGTGCTGGGCCACCATCTGCCATCAGAGCAGCTTCAGTGCTCCTTGGCATTGATTCTCCAAGTCTCTGAACTCCACTATTCTGCCAAAACATATTCCCTCATCTGGTTACTTTAGACGCTGTCTAACATATCGGTTCAAAATCTCCGATAGGTATTTTGATGAAAGCGAAGGCCATAGGACACGATTCACATCATTTTCATACACTCAAACCATTCAGTGAGCCCTAGTGCCCTGTGGATGGGGGCATTGTCATCCTGCAGAGACCACTCATTTATTCAAGTTGTTCCTTTTCATTTGTCACCCACCTGTATGTAATTTGCCCAGGGATGCCCCACCTTTGCATAGAACTGTGCTTCCCATCTCACTACTGGACTTAATGCAAAAAAAAAATGTGGTGTATTCAAGGCTTTTACCCATTTGTTCAAGTCTTTGGCCAACTTCAGGGAGTCCACAGTATACCACATCACCTAACGCTTCCTAAAATGAAAGAACGGTACAAGTTACAACCCACATAAAGTACCACACAAATGTGAGTAAAGGCAATAGTGGAATAATATCCAGATTTGAATTTTGCATTTTAAAAAAATAAGGCCGCACATGCTCTAATAAGCATTTACAATTGCAGGATGGTGCATGTATGATTAACTCAAAATAAACTACAGCGTTCATTATGAAGGACGATGTCACCCTGTGCAACATTGTTTCCTCTAAAAAGGAGCACAGAGACTGTTATATGCTCTATCAGAGAAAACACTTAAGAATCTGAGATGAGTGGCCACTGAGTCATATTTCACATGGTAATGTTGAGAATCTAAGAAAACTACTGCCACAGGGAAATACACAGTGTGTTACACATTCATACAGTAAATTGCCAATTGCAGCCCAAACTTTTACTGTAGCAGTTCATCTGGGAACTGAGGTGCCAGTTTGTTTTAGTTTAGATTAAAGCTTCAGTTTTCCTCAGGTAACCCTACAAAGGCAAATCTAATACATGACCCCTCCATATATAACTAATAGCCAACAAACTTAAAAAGGCACCAGCACAAAAAAAAAAAACATAACACCATAAATCAGTGGAGATGGGCAGATGATAAGCGCCGCAGCCTGTTTCACTCCTGTGAAGCAGGAGGTCATGTGACTGATGACGTCCAAAACTTCATGCATCACTGGTGATTCAGAAGGATCTTCACTGAGTTACATAGAGTTCGAAGGTTTTGTAGCTAAACCCTATGATAGGCACATTAGTAGGATAGGAAGTTAAAATGTATCAGTGACACTGGTCCTTAACTACATGAGTAAATGTAAATACACCAAGAAGTACTTAGTATTAGCAGTGACATTTTATATTTAGTCTTTTTTGGGCAACTTATTACTGTACTTTAACATAATGCATAGGAACATGAACATTTAACACAGCACTTCAGAAGAAAAGTGTTACTGATCTAATAACACCACACAGGCTTTTGGGACTTTTATTGTACATGAGACTGAAGCTATTATAATCAGTGAGGTTTTGTAGTGATATGGACCCAGTCTCGAAGAGTTACTATAAGTTCTGCGAGCCACCAGATGTCACTGTGCTTGCTTTGTTTGAGGCCCCAATGCTTGGAATTTTATTTTTAACACAGAAAAACTTCACTGGCTCATCCTCAAAGTGTATTATGTAAAATGTTACTTAAGTCCAAACTGCAGTTTACCTACAACAAGTGTCCATATCTCAGTTCCACAAATATAAATTAGTCACTTTCTTAAGAGAATATTTATTTCTGCCGCAGCACAGCTATTACTGAGTTTCTGGGGGGATGCTGGAGTGTGTGTGGGTGTTATTCAGGCCACTCTGCTTGTCTCTCTTTGGAGTTACATTTTTTGTTTCATCACAGCAGACGATCTTTATCCTTATGCTCTCACAGTCCATTAAATACCATCTGACAAAATCCAGGTGGACTGTCACATTATGATAGAGTGGCCACTCTACCATAATGTGAAGTGTGTGCCTTTCTAAACTGTGTCTACCCGTTCAGTTTGCTTCAGGCAGACTCCAATCATGTTCTGGATACATCAAATACAATTAAAGGATGCACCTGAGCACAATGTTGAGATCACAACAAAGGATCTCATTTCAGTTTTGGATTTTGAATACATTTACAAAAAAATTCTAAAAATGTATTTTCACTTTGTCATTATGGGTTATTGGGTGTAGACTGTAATTTAATCCATGTAAATCTCAAACTGAATTTATAGCCATGGGTT